ACACTATACTGAGCACCAGTGTCAAGCTTGATGGTCTTCTTTTCTCCCTGTATCGTAACCAGCACCGTCGGTAAAAGATCTATGGTCGGCGCTTGCACTGCCCGTAATTTGCCCAAGCGACAGCGCATCGCTGCTTCTTCGACCCATACAACCCCAGTACTGTCATACGTACTCCCGCTGCGATAAACGTATGAACGATGCACCTTCTTCCGGCTAACTTGTGTTACTACCGTAGTCGCCTGAGGCTGTCGGTGTTTCACCCCGCTGACTTCCGCTTCTGTGAGAAGACTTGCCCTTCCGCAGCTCCTTCGGTGATCGTTATACCGATAGTACCCTCCTCCTGGATACTGCTCTTGTCGACTACGAGCCATCAGCGCGCGTAATTCCTTCGCTTTCGCCTTCCTTTTCCGTTTCTCCGCCCGGCGTCGCGCCCGTGAAGCTTGCAATTCTTCTCCGCCCGGAACACTGCTACTGGGTTCGTCTTCGCTCGGAGCTGTCCGATCCTTCCTCGGTTGATCATCCCCCGGGTGGAAACTCAATGGCAGATCCAGAGTTTGTTCCGGTTGTTGGTACTCCTCCGCGTTTCCGCCGGCGCTATCCTCAATGTGGTCCATTCGTCGCCGATCCAGTCGCCGTAGTGCCCGCCGTCGTGCTCGCTCTTGTCGCTGTTCCCTTCGTCGACTCCATTGGTCACGCTCGCCCTCTTCCTTGATGTTCTTCAGCCGTCGTTGTGCTCGTGACTGCAGGACCAACGCTTGTGCTTCGTCTCGTCGCTGAGCTTCCTCGCACATAACTGCGAAGACCCCGCCATCCCCAGGCATGAGCATCTCGGTTTCAGCGGAAAGGTCCCGTCACTCGAAAGTCCTCCGGTGCTGTCCCATCGTCCTTCTTCGCTTCCTTCACTTTCAACAGATCTCCTGTGGTTGACGATGACGCCACCGTCACTGGAGCCTCTCCCTCTGTGTCATCCCTGTAAGCAGGTTTGTCCGCATCCGGTTGGGTTCTGTCCCCGTCGGGGAAGGTCGTGGCTGGCCCCTCAGCTACTCTAGTACTCTCATTGACCCCAGTGTCGAATGTGTACCC